GTAGTAGTAGTAGTAGTAGTAGTAGTAGTAGTAGTAGTAGTAGTAGTAGTACTCACTCACGATCGCCATATCGTCCAAGTCGATACGTTGCGGGGACAGACCTGTGGTCCGGCGATTTGGTATCGCACCATAGTTTTATGGTTCCACATAAAGGTAAACTGCAAAAGTAAGAGCTCGCATGGCCTCCAGGAAAAAGCCACCTAATCCATCTGGTTCAGATCATATACAGCAGAGCTAACACCTCGAATCATCTGCACATTGCTATGTACAGCCTCTGGACCGTTCTCGGCAGACGGTTCCACAACGTTGTCAAGCAACGTCGTGCAAGCTGTCCGACCATTGCCTCGTTCGCCTTGCAAGGGAGTTGCAGCTATGTTCGGAGCCTGGTTCAGGACTGCTGAAGAGCAGATCGCACCAGAGTTAGCCTGAGGAATCGCAGCACTCGAGGAAGCCGCCGTAGAATTACCAAGGCCAGGAGAAACCGCGGCTATGCCATTGCCAGACTGTACCAACCCATACACGGTCGCTGTTGCAGGTGCAGGTGCAGGTGCAGGCTGCGGAGCTCGCAGGTGGCATCGAACCGAATGTTGAGCTCCGAGAGATCCCCGGCAGGTAGAGCAGCAGTGTAGATGCAAGCCCCGAACAAGCCTACCACAACCCGAAGTACCACAAAGAAAAACATGATTGCTGAAATTCTCCGTGGCATCCAGCTCGGCAAGACGTAGAGCCCTTTGCTGTCGTATGCATCTGCTCGTGTGGCCCTCTCGTCTCCGGCATCCAGCGCAGCAATGACGATGATGTGAAGCATACCTGCAAGTGCAGCCTGGCGTGCTGCACTGTCTGGTGCCAGCAAGTCCTGTGTTGTCCGCTGTGCCGCCCGCTGTGGCCATGTGGCCTGGGCACAGTGTTGGAGAAAAAGCAGGATAACATGATGGGGCCGTGGCAGATGTAGCATCAAGCAGGCAACCGTGGTGCGACGAGTTGTCTTTTGCCCTGCGATGGCTGCACATCTATTCCCCCTATTGGAGAGTGGCAGGGAGAGGCGACGGTCCCCGCCCGTCGACTATGTCAGATTGATGGCAGTCACACAATCTTAAGCGCGGTGCCGCCAAACAAGAGTGCACTCGAGCAGTGCCACACAAAGACAGTGCACTCCCAGGGCACAGTCAAACCCTACAGTGACAGCCGTGTCCGACCTTGGAGAATCTAGGCCGGGGCCGAGGGGACTACGAAACCTAAACTCTTAAGGCGATCACTAAGGTCCTCGGGGAGAGCAGCGAAGTGCGACCACGCAGTAGGCAATCATCACAATTCTATTTCCGCCCGACCAGCTGCAGGTAGAATGCAGCCAGCGCTTGGCATCAAAGGCGACCGCTTGGGCACTCGTCGGAAAGATCTCGCCAGCGTAGATGGTATCCCCAACCTCCGCAAAGCATGTGCCCTCCGGGTTGGCTATCCAGATCCCGCCCTGGTCATGGTTGGAGAGCCCCACAAGCAGGCTGTGACCTTCACGATTGCCACGGTCAAGATGCGGCTCGCAGACGTCGTCCATGGTCAGCGTCAGACTGGTCCATTCATGCAGAGGAAGCACCTCACGCACCATGTGGTTCAGAAGCCGGCAGACATTGGCATGATACCGCGTAGAGCGCGTCAGGCCGCGCAGCCCTCCTTTGGCAAAGAGTCCCAGGGTCAGAGACCGACCATTTGCAAAGGCCCTTGTATCCGTGTCCCACCTCAGGAGCTGCACGACGGACCGCACTGCCGCCCAGACAGAGCCCTTGGCTTCGCTCAGTGTATGCCAGGCCAGCTGCTCCGCCGGAGGTGCCGAGTCATCCATGGCACCTGTCGGTCGAGGCAAGTCGACAACGACTTGGCCTGTGATGGCAGAGTCAAGTGCCTCAGAATACATCAAGAAGGATTGAAGCTCCACATCGCTGAGGTGCTTGTGGGCCAGAGCAATGATATCATTGCGAGTTGCCATCGTCATTGCAGGAGGGCGATCATCGAAGGTACCACTCCTACGGCGATAGGCCCTCAGAAGGAGTTGTTCCTCGAGTGCAGCGAGGTAGATATGGCCCGGCAGCTCAACCGCCGAGGCAGTCATGGCCAATCAAGCAGAAGGACACACTAAGGGCAAAGTCACAACTCCCTACCTAGAAGGACAAGCCGGTGGATTGCAGTGCAAGGCTGTGACGACTGAGGCAGAACAGTGAGGCATCTCAGGCACAGGCGTATGCGAGGTAAAAGCGTTGGCACGAGTGCCCACGGGAGCAGTGGGCTCCAGTAGTAGTAGTGGTAGTAGTAGTAGTAGTAGTAGTAGCAGTAGCAGTAGCAGTAGCAGTAGTAGTAGTAGTAGTAGTAGTAGTAGTAGTAGTAGTAGGAGGAGGAGGAGGAGGACTAACAAAAAGTAGCAGTAGTAGTAGTAGTAGTAGTAGTAGCAGTAGTAGTAGTAGTAGTGGTAGTAGTAGTAGTAGTAGTAGGAGTAGGAGTAGGAGTAGGAGTAGTAGGAGTCGTGGTAGCGGTAGTGGTAGTGGTAGTGGTGGGGGGGAGCGGTCTGGTAGCGGGTAGTAGTAGTAGTAGGAGTAGGAGTCGTGGTAGCCGTAGTGGTAGTGGCGGCGGTAGCGGTCTGGTGGTAGTAGTAGTAGTAGTAGTAGTAGTAGTAGTAGTAGTAGTAGTCGTGGTGGTGGTGGTGGTGGTGGTGGTGGCGGTGGTGGTGGTGGTGGTGGGAGCGGGAGTGGGAGTGGGAGTAGTGGAAGTGGGAGTAGGAGTAGGATTAGGAGTAGGAGGTAATAGGAGGAGGATAGGAGTAGGAGGAGAATAATTGTTGGGAAATCATCGGTGGCGAGTATCGTTGCTAAGATGATGGGCGGTGGTCGGTGGCAAACTGCTGGACATCTGGGTCATCGGGTCATCGATTGCTGGTATCACGACCATAAAGTGTATTACATACTATCTCAAATTTCCATACATTCCTATTTAACATATATATATATATCCAACATCTGAGTCTAAATATATATATATATATATATATATATATATATATATACCCCGGCTTAAATGTAAATGATCTAATCTCTACGTAAAATTTCCTATTTTCTATAATATTGATCTCCACAAATATGCTTCTTTTATTCGTCCATAAATTACTGCACCACTACTGTCTACTCCTATTGTGGCTGCTACTGTTGCCACTGCTCCGGCACGGGTATAGACGAGTTAGAGTTGCTGTCATGCCATACGGTACCATTCACAGGAAATGCGGTCCATGCCACTGGTCACTAGCACCACTGCTTTGCTAACTATACAGAAACAAAACCGCTACACGTACTGGGACGGCTACCACTTCTGCCGCTACTGCTACTACGACAACTACACCTGCAATTCCAATCACAACTACACCGACTACAACTTCTGGTACAACCTTAGAACAGCTCTTAGAACGACTACGACTACCATGACTGCCACAACACGACCGCCCAACGACAACGATCACGACGACTACAGTAACGGCTAGCACTACCTACTCTACTGGAACTGGCACTGCCGCTACGTGTTATACTTCGTACATGTCAAAATCTTCAAACGTTGCACAGTCCACGATCTCAGCACAAACATCGTCTTTCGCACTGCAGTGGACACAGCACTCTCACAAAGTCTAGCCAAGGAGGCTTGTCTAAGTTGGAAAACCGGATTAAAATGGCCCGAGAATGCCAGCAGGCCCGGCATGACGCAGAAACAACAAGCCTTAGCAGCAGCAGCAGCAGCAGCAGCAGCAGCAGCAGCAGCGGCTTAGTAGCAGTGGCTGTAGCAGTGGCAGCAGTAGCAGTAGCAGTAGCAGTAGCAGTAGCGGTAGCGGTAGCAGTAGCAGCAGCAGCAGTAGTAGCAGTAGCAGTCGCAGTAGCAGTAGCAGCAGCAGTAACAATAGCAGTAGCAGTCAGCGACAGTCGCAATAGCAGTAGCAGTAGCAATCGAAAAAGCATGATTACGAGCAAGGCTTAAGAGTATTCATATTCATATTGACATTGATCAGTCTTGCAGCAGTGTTGTAGTAGTGGTATTAGACTTATTAGACCGGCCTGCAAAACCGAATCGGTTGCCGTTCGGATCGCTGTCAGCTTGATCTTGGCTTTGAAGTCATCGCCCAAGGTCAAGGCTTGAAGCTCTGCCACATTCGCATCCAAACCAACCCCGGCACGCCAGAAATTGGCACCACCGGCCTGGTACCCACAGCCTGTGTCGCACGCTTTAGCACTGAGCTCCTTGACACGTTCCTTCATCACATTGTTGTGGTACTTTATGCAGTCCATAAACTCGATGACAGACTCCTGCGATGCATCCAAGATCACGTCCATGGCTTTCTTGGAACTCAGAAGCTCAGCGGTTGCAGGGTCGGCACTGATATCAGAATCCTGCTCAGCGATCTTGGTTTCGAAGGTTTGCTGGGCCTCGGCCAAGTTCGTGGCATGGCCAGCGCACTTGGCCTTGGATGCCTGAAGCACTGTGAGAAACTGAATCTTCGGGTCCTTTGCGAGTCGGGCAGCCGCATCCGCACCCATCCCGGAAAACTTCCGGAGTCGCCAATGGTACACGCCCGCATACTGGACTCCCTGGATGTGAGCATTCACGAGTTGGGACAGCTCCTTGAAGTCGGGGGGCACCAGCTTCTTAGCCATGGAAAGGCAAGTCGTCACCATCGGCTTCACCTCCGCCAAGGCCTTCTCCGAAGCGAGCACCTGCCATTCGGCACATCTTTTCAACTGCATGTTTAGGGTTTGGGGTTTACCCATGGGGTGGCAAGCTCACGCAAGCTGCAAAATCAGGCGGTCTACCAAATTTCCACATACGTAATGAAACCAAGAAACAGAACACATACAGTTCGACATGACCCATGGCACGAAGACTGTTGAAGGCTGACTCCTGACTGCTTCATGACATGACCCCTCACACTTCACATGGCCGGGAACATGAGCACAGAATCCAGGGCCTCTAACCTAGACCTAACAGCCTAACTTCCCAGCCTGCACCCAACACCACCAGCTAAGCCTTAGCCCAAGCCAAGCCTTGTCAGCGAAGTGGAGGAGGGCAATTCTGATAAAGACAATGAAGGGGATCATCGTGGCCTTTGAGGGCTGGAGAGTGCTACAGGCCTCCAAGCTTTGCCGGAGATTCACAAAGTCAATCTCCGAACGGGTCGCTACCTTCATGCACTCCAGAAGGCTGTTGACCGTCAGGTGCTGGGAACTCTTAGTCGACCACTTTTGGAACTCCTCGGCAGCCGAGGGCACACCCGGCACATGCGCCAACATCTGGAAAAGCTTGGCGAGGCTCTCGACCTTCGCTGCAGAGAGGTTGGTCAAGTCTGTGGTGGCTTGCAGGGCTGTGGCAGCACTTCGAGCCACGTTCTCTGCTTTCTTGGAAAGCTCTTCGACTTCACCTTGTCGAAGAGCTGGCCTTACTTCCTCCAGCAAGTGCACCAGCTCTTTCAACTGGCTGCCCGACAAGCTCTCGCCACTCTCCACGCCCACAAGCTCTTCAAGCCGGAGGATCTTCGGCTGCAAAAGGGGCCTGGCGCCCGCAACTCGAGCTATGTCGGCAAGCTGTGCCTGCCACCAGCTAGATTTCTGCAGCACACCTTTCACGCTTCGGTCGAAAAAGGACGATCCACTATACTGCGCATACCAAAAGGCGTCCGCCGCCGACGCCGATGCATCTTCAGCTTTCCCCAAGCCAAGAAGCAGCGCCCTCATCATGCGCGTGACCTGGGCCCATGCATCAGTGATTGCCTGGAAGAGCGGTGTGGCGCTCAAAGTCTTGAGAATGTCTGCTTGGTCGGTGGCGCACTTCAAGAACCCTCGTGCGACGTAAAGCACGAACTCGTTGGTGGACGGCAGTCCCTGGATCTGCTCGACAAAGGCATCTTCGAGGAACACCTCTTTCATAGCATCGGCCAGCGCCTGGATAGGACGACTGGAGATGCTAGTCTCAGCCTTGTATGCATCTGCTTCTTGCGATCATATATATGTATATGCAATGGGATTGTACAACAATGACTGAACACTCTAAGGGTACGAGGAGCTGCCAGGTATCCGAATAAGCAATATCTCTTGCAGGCTGTACATCCAGAATGCACCTTGCCTACAGTGGCCAGCTGCAGGGATACTAGCTGCAAGATCCTGGCTCCTAGCTGCCTAGCTTTAGCAAACTTTAGCAATAGCAAATACGTGTAACTAGCCGCTAGCCCACAAGACACCACTGGATTGGAATGGACACCAAACTCACCGAACTGTGACCTCGGCAGCCGACTTCAGGACGACGGCCCTTGTCTCCTCGCCCCTGTTCTTCGCCTCGCCCGTGTTCTTCGCCTCGCCTGTGTTCTTCTCCTCGCCTGTCTTCTTCTCCTCGTATGCCGCCTCGTCCATCTGCTTCTCGGACTTCTCCGGGAGAGACATGTCCATGTCCAGGTCCTCATCGAAGTCGTCGATCATGAAGGCCTCTTGCAAATCATCTGCATCGCGAAGCAAGAACTTCAGCGTCTGGCTGAAGCTGGCGGAGTCGGCTTGGAAGGCCGGCAGCTCCCCGTCGTCTGCATCGTCCCACAAGTAGAACGACAAGAACTTGTCAGCAGGGTCTGTCCAATCCCCCTTTACCTTGAAAGTCTGGGCAGCAAGTTTCAACTCATCCGTTGCGAATCGCTGAGCCAAGCTCAGCTGGAGCTGGTAGGGGTACTTGTCCCACAGGCTCTTTGTGCAATTGATGTGGACCATGAGCTGCTGTGCTGCGACCTGGCTTGGGTTGAGGAGGTTCGACGAGTTCAAAGCCAAGCAGTGTTCGCATTCCTCGATGCGCTCTTCCAGGGAATTCGCTGCCACCGATTCTTTATTGGTCCTCAAACCATCCACGATGCGCTTGGCCTCAGAGCATTCCTACTCCTATACTCACATGCTTGCAACCGACGGAAAGGTCAAAACATACACGTCAAAGCTGTGGCTTTCGAACTGTCTGTTCTTGCAACGAAGCCAAAGCTCAAAACGCACATCTCAAAGCTGTGGCTTTCAAACTCTATCTTGCAACCAATGGAAAACTCAAAACGTACATCTCAAAGCTGTGGCTTTCGAACTCTCTGTTCTTGCAACGAAGCCAAAGCTCCAAACGTACATCTCAAAGCTGTGGCTTTCGAACTCTATTCTTGCAACCAATGGAAAGCTCAAAAAGTAGATGTGCAAGCTGTGGCTTTCGAACTCTCCATTCTTGCAACCAATGGAAAGCTTAAAAAGTACATCTCAAAGCCCTGGCTTTCGAGCTTTTGTGAGACAATGCAGCAAAGGCAGCAAAGATAAAGGTCATTTGGCCAAGGCCAAGGGTGCGAAGCTTCCATGAAAAATGAAGTGCAGTCAACTGAAACATAACAGGTCCGGCCAGCCACAGGGGCTTGTAGCTTTCTGCTGTCAAAGCAAAGCAAACATAACAAAACCACAAGCTCCAGGAACACATGTTGCGAGCCTCAAAAGGAAAACGTTGACCTTTGTGGCGCTACAATAGGACGAATCGGTTGTGTGATGTAAGATTGTAACAGCATGACTTCAATCGGGCATCCGTCTTAAACCTGAACATAAACTCAGCCTGGCACTCCATTCAGTGAGTTGCTGAGGGTCTTCGACGGGTGGCAGAGAAACTGGTAAGGCACCAGGTCCTTCAAACTCTTCACACTCGCTCCACGATGCTTCATTGCAACCTTCCTCATCTCAGGATCAAGCTTGTCCAAGAAAGCATCCTTGGCATTGGCCGTGCTTTGGCTGAAGACCTCGTCATCACCCTCCTTCCCTTTGAACTGATTCCTCAACCTGCTTGTTGGTACCAGAACCGGAGTCACCGGAGTGGCGGTGCTGGGGAGGCTCTCTGCTGGAGGCGGTGTTTGCTGCGGCGTAGCTTGCACCTTCGCCTTGGCTTTCGCCTTTGCTTTCGACTTCGGGGTTGGTGCAGCTCTGCTGATGCCGAATCGCCTCCTCTGCGGCGGAGCAGGGTGGCCGTCTCATCATCCTCAGAGTGGCAGCAGCCGCTGAAGCCACAGCTCGTTGGCTGAGCTGGCTTTGCACCTCTTGGTGCGTTGCCTTCAACTCTGCAAGGGTGTGCCGTCGCTGCGCAGCCGGCCGTGCTTTCTCACCACGGGCACTAAAGGCGGCCGAAGCTATGTGAGCAAAGACGTGCTGAGGCTGGCTTTGGGTGAGCTGTGGTAGCTGGCTCAGAAACGTTTCATCGTGCACGGTCTCCGAGCTCCAGAAGACCTCTAGCCGCCGGCACGAGTTTTGAACATCCACTGGGAGCCCGCCGAGGTCCACAGGATAGTAATTGACAGAGCTGGCTCCAGGCCCATGAAAGGGAATCGATAGAGGCTTGATCGGCTTGGAGGATTTCTTGAGCTCCAGCGGGGAATGGCCGACCAAGGCACCATATTCCGCTGCATCCAGCAATGCCATAGGCTGGGTGACCCGGTAGCCGTAGACATGGACATCCTTGACATCCGAGGCCGGCATGAAAGGATCCGGATCTTCAGTCCCAGCACGCTCCAGCGCTTGCACCATCTCCTGATATCCACCCGGACAGTATGTTTACAGACTTGTACTGGGATAATACGGTTAATAAGCTTGATTTGGAGTTGGGTTACAGATCAGAAGCTTCAAACTGAAATCCCAATCCACGCGTACCCCTAGGACCCCATGAACCCGGGCTTTTCCTGAAGAATCTTGGGTCACTAGCGAAAACGTGCAAGCATCGAAAGGGCTTTGGACGAAACCAAGTTCTTCTAGGGTTCCCTTTAGAATTTGAAACCAAAGAAACGGAGCATCTATCCTACCATATGCACCCCCTTCAAGAAGACACTGATCCCCGTCCCTCATCCCTAAAGCTGCCCTGATTTCTGGAGGTGCGCGAATGCCCAAAGCCCGTCCATCCCCTTTGCCCTGTAGAAAGGCTGTGGAGATGTCGAAGTTTATCAACTTCCACCGCTGAGAAACGATCTTCTGCAACAGAAGCTGTCTGGCATCTTTAGCTAAAGTAGGGGCATCATTGGGGACAGTCTGCAAGTCAGGGTCCTCGAACCCCAAAACTACTAGTCTGGCTTTAGCGCGTTTAGGGCCACCCTCACGCTCCGGAGGCTTCCATGTTAAGATCCACCGACAGCGCATGAGCTGACTATCACTCAACGTGCCTGCTGCTACCCTTCGCACCGTTCTGTGGTCCATCCATGCCTTCACTTCCTTCGTTTTGGCTGTGTCAAACAGCTCCCTTTCTTGCCTACTGAGATCACGCATGTTAACTTCCACCCTCCTCTTCTTCTCATCGGAGGCAAGAAGGATGTACTGAAGAGCCTCGCTTTCCGAAGGAAGATCAGCAACCGGGACCGCCGTCTCGCGCAGAGTCAGTTCCCACACCTGCCCTTCCGCAGGCTGGGTGAAAAAGCAACAGTCATCGCCGAACAACAAATCCTCATCATCATCACTCTCATCGGGGATAGGAACTACCATAGGGTCTACTTCCATAGGGGCCGGGACGGGAACATTTTCGGAGACAACTGGAGACACTTCCATTTCTGGCTGGTGGGACTCCTCATTCTGTGGACCTAAAACTTCAAAACCCTCACCCACGTCAACATCTCCTACTCCGGTTCCGGAAACAACAGCCATGGACTCAGGCGCCTCAGGATTTGTTGGAACAGGTGCGTCGCCTTGAACCTCTATCTCATCCCTACTCGGCAATAAACCATCCCTACAAACATCAACCACCCTGCTAGGAAGTCCTACAATCGAACGCCCCTGCCCCAATTCCTGAGTCTGCACTGCGCGCCATTCCCGCATGGACGCAGGACGAATTTGTTCGGGTGCTGCCCTGATGAGTTGACCTACATGCTGTAGCCATACTACCTTAGCATCCCCTGTAATTACTTGAGCAGGACCAAACCATCGCCCTTTCTCATTCCTCCCTCCAGCTTTGCTCCTACGCCAGTGCAAAACCCAGTCGCCCGCTTCAAAGTGTTGGCTCCCAGGACGGGAACGTCTTAACATAGCCCTCCTATAGCTACTGTCATTATCGGCCTGAATAAATGCAACCCTGGCCTGCTCCCTTCGCTGGAGGCTCTGACGGAATGAAAGACCTTCTGACGTGGCACTTTCGGCAAGTGTATGTACAGCGGCATTATCGTCTCCAACCAAAGAGGCCGGTAACCTGGACATCTTCCCTAGAACCGCCTGCTCAGGAGTAAAGCCCTTTACCCTACTCAGACTATTCTTTGCTTGAAAAGCCAGTCGCAAACACTGCCGAAATTCAGCCGGAGTTCGGATTGGATCCTGTTGGTCCATGCGCGTGAGCATTCCCTTCACAATGCGTCCATGTGCCTCTACCCTACCTAACTGCCAATGTGCCTCGCCTGCTGAAACATGGGCCCGGATCCCTTGTTTTTGTAGCTGTTCCTGCCAAAATTCACTCGTGTATTCCCCGGCAGGGTCTACATACAAGGTCTGACACGGCCCGGCCCATCTGAACCACATGTCTGAAAGACGGTCGAATTGATCCTCTCCGTGGCCTGCCGTTTCAACCCATTGATGAAACAACGTAGACTCATCGAGTACATGCATAAACCGAAAAGTCTGGCCCGCGGAGTTGGTCCAGAAAGCACAGTCAATTCCAATAGTGTCGCCAAAATCCCCGTCTACATGAATCGCTGAAGGCCGGGCTATCTTCGGAGCGGGGAGAGTCTCAAGGCAAGTACTACACTCGAAATCCCGTGCTCCTTGGATCATCCGGGGCTCGGCTTTTCGTTCTTGCAGGAACCGAACGAAACGAGTCGAATCAGGGTGACCCAAGTTGTTATGCTACCGGACCAACTCTTCCCTCTCAGAACCACTAAGACTAAGGAACCCTGGCCCAGGCCGAGGAATGATCTTTGGCGGGTGCCCCGAAATCGGCTCATCACTCATCGGCTCTACGCTGGAGCTTGCCCTATCGTCTCTGGCTGGCGCGCTCAACTCTAAAGAGGATCGCTGCTCTTGAAACGCCGCGCCGTAGGCAATCAAACTCATCTTTGCGGGGACCGTGGCTCGGCACTGTTTATATTTAGGCCTCTACCGAACCATCAACTACAACCACTCCATCCGACCTACGTATCAGAACGGTCTGCCTGAGGGGTGCTTCTTGAACGTCCGTGCCGGGCTTCGGAGGCTGCACGCGATTGGTCCCTCGACAGAAAACAGCTTGCTGGACCTGAAAACTCGGAATTAAGTCTTGTATCTGGGTTACAACCGGATCCCCCGCTCCTAAGTACAACCTCCCCCCCTTAGGAACCCTCCAATTCACCTCCCTAAAAATTCGAGTCCAGTGCCACGGCTGCTCTGGCTGAGGAACAGACTGCTTGCCAAGCAAGCGACGACGCTTCAAAACTTGACAAGCAGGCGATGAACCCGAGTTTGCCGCTGAGCGTTTCTCACTTTCCCCTATCAAAAGCTCCGACAGCATCAGTGGAGCATCCCTTGCGCCCTGAAGTAACACTGCCACTATTTCATTTAAACCTGCAGGCTTGAAGTGCTTTGCGCGTGGGATGTCGTGCATTTGTTGTTTTCTGGTGTCGAGGCTTTCGTGGAGGGCCCTGGATGTGGTGTATATCTGGCTGTAACGGGTGATGTAGTTATTCCCTCTGCGAATGTGAGCGCCCTTCAGCTGTGTGGGATCGTAGACGGTGGAAAGAACTCCTTGAAGTAGTGTACGCCAATCCTCGGTGACTGAATTTAGAGAACCATGGCCACAATTGATATGGAAATGTCTACCCTGCTTTACTTGGTGCTCGTAGAGATCTCGAAGAAGAGCTGCTGAAAAGGAGTTCTTTCCATCGGCCACCTCCCACGGCTTCGAACAGTGCACCCAAATGTGCACCGGATTGAACATGGAGATCCACTTCCACAGACTTTCCTGACCCACTTGTGTCCGAAGGTCACCATCCTCATGTTGAAAGCATTTGGCACGACCACCGAGTCGCTTCACATGAGGACTCAAAGGACTGCCAACGGTCTGAGTAATCTCCAGGACATCCAGTCGTGGAAGTGAATAGCGCGGGTGTTCCGAAGGTCTTGATTTCCAGAGCTCCCGGGTTTCACGAAGAGCGCGGTCAATCTGTGACATCTTAGCTTCAATCTCCCGAAAAATCTGGAAATCCTCTTCATCAATCGGCGGCCTGATCGCTGCTCCTCGGTCCTCGCCTTCTCCGGGAAGTCGAGAATCGGAAGCTGGTCCAGGGCACGTTGCAACACCGCTCGTTGGGTCATGATCTCTTGGCGCTGCTCCGCAGACATCTCGGCCTCCATGGGCCCCTGACTCTGACTGGAGCTGCTGCCCCTCTTGTTGGTACGGCTCAATCTGTTCTCGTCCTCGGGCTGAATGTAGAGCCATGGCCCCTCGCCGTCGCGAATGTACGGCCCCTCCGGAACAGTGTGGATGCTCCCCTTCGCGCGCTGCTCGGCACGCGCCATCTCCTTGAGGGTCGCCTTCACAAAGTTCTGGAAGCTCAGGGCCCACTCCGATGTCAACGTAGTCTTGCGCATCATCAGCAAAGCATACGTCTGGTCGATATTCATTGTCTCCTGGAACGTCTTGCCCTTGTGCTTTCCGCCCCCCATCTTGATTGCCCCCCATTCGCGAAGATTGGCTATTCCCTGAGGCTTCTTGTAATTCACATTGAGGAACTCGTGAGATTGAGCTCCTTGTTGTTCACCACATACGTACTCTCTTCCCCCGAGAGCTCGGCCTCCAGGTCGAGACTCTGCTTCGGTGTTGGAAGGGCCATGCAGTCTACCCGACGCGATTGTAGCACTGGAGGTGTCACCACAGGCTTCTTGATCGAATTGAGACTGCTGAAGGCGGCGTGGGCTCGTGGGTGTTGGAGGGCACTCTGATTGATCACGAGTGGTGCCGAGAAGCTGGGTGTTGCTAGTGTTGGTGTTGCTGGTTTCGGTGGTGAGTGTTGTTCGCAGCTCCGCGCACTGCAAGACCTCGTCATCCCCTGTCTTTAACCCCACTAGCTCGCCGAAATCAACTATAGAGAGACCCTTACCATCTGAACGCATTGAAATCCCTCGACCCCCAACCTGAAGAATCCCTTTCCGAATAAACAAGATGGCATCTAGTTCTCTCAGCAGCCGATTTGAAATCAACAAGGGTGCGTTTCCTTTGATTACTTCTATGCGGATCCACTGACCATCGTGCACCGGAAGGAGAAGCGCATATTTTGCAGTCAGGGTGCCACTGTTCCCAAACCTAAAGGTGACACCTGAAGCTGTCTTCTTAATACCCTGACGGCAGGCAAAGGGCAAGCCTTCGATCACTGTTCTGAGCCGATCTTCTCCTACTACGGTCCTACTGGCCCCAGTATCAACTGCGCCCTCGGCCCCAACCGTAACTACAAACAACGGCTCATCCCCATCACACTCACAGTTGGATGGCTCCAGACCGGAAGTCTGACCCTCAAAATTTGGCCTGCATGCACTCTCCGACATACGGCTCACGATGGTCCTCGCCTTCGGAAAAGTTGAACTGCTATCCGACCTGCGCAAAGAAAAGGTACGACTTGCAAATGCATCTCTAAAACTCACGAATGATGACACCTTTGGTGTAACTAGGAGGCAGGGATGCGAACTAATTCGTGATCCTACCAGCCTGTCTTCGGATGACCCCGGTGCCTGCGAGTGCTCAAAAACAAACGCTGAGGCATCCTCGAGCAAGGCTGAGAGGAGCTCATGGGGCAGGATCTCGGTCTTGTTCGATTGAAGCGTTGGGCATTCGCGCTTCCAATGCCCAACCTGTCCGCAGAGCCTGCAACTCGATGAAGCGATTCTCTCCGCCAGCGATTTGCGTCGCCAGCCACCTGAGTTCCCAGAGGACGCCCGCTTGATTTTTTCAATCGGCCGCTTGATTTTGAGGGCACACGAAACTTCTATTGAATTTGAGGAAATTTCAATCGTTTGGAACTTTTGTTTGTACATGTTTCTATTGATTTTGAGTGTTGACTTCTATTGATTTTAACCGTGGTCTTTCTATTGATTTTATGGAAAATTTCTATTGATTTTATGGAAAATTTCTATTGATTTTATGGAACATTTCTATTGATTTTATGGAGATTTTCTATTGATTTTGAGGTGGATGTTTCTATTGATTTCAATCACCAGCTTCAAGCTGAAACGACGGCCCGGGCGGCCCCAATTTGCTAACCAAATAATGTATACAATGAGAGAGAGAGAGAGAGAGAGAGAGAGAGAGAGAGAGAGAGAGAGAGAGAGAGAGAGAGAGAGAGAGAGAGAGAGAGAGAGAGAGAGAGAGAGAGAGAGAGAGAGAGAGAGAGAGAGAGAGACAGAGAGCGAGAGAGACAGAGAGACAGAGAGACAGAGAGCGAGAGAGAGAGAGAAAGAGAGAGAGAGAGAGAGAGAGAGAGAGAGCAGAGAGAGAGAGAGAGAGAGAGAGAGAGAGAGAGAGAGAGAGAGAGAGAGAGAGAGAGAGAGAGAGAGACAGAGAGAGAGAGATACAGAAAGACGGAGGAGACAGACAGAAGAGATGGGATGTGGGCCGGACGGCCCCACGAAGGGAGAAGGCGGGGGAATCATTTTTGGCAGGTTCGTGCATGGCAGCCGTCTTGAAACCAAAGCTT